GTGTGCCAGGCTGGACCTGCTGCCCCTAATTGTTTCCTTTTTTCCCTCTTTGGGGAAAAACGATGATAAATAAGATCCTATTAGATGGGAATATATTTAATAATGCAAAAAGGATGGAGGAGTGGAGGAAGAAAGAGAACCCAGCACTGCTTTGGCTCAGTTGGGTTTGTTCACAGTCCCGTGGTGGTGGAGCCAAACCTCACTGGCACGGCTGGGCACTGGCACAGGGTCTGTTCAGGCTGCTGCCTCCATCCCATTTACTGCTCTTTGTCCTYTTCACATTTCCAGCAAGTCTGAAAATCAGAGAGAAAACAATGATTGTGTTTTCCTGGCTTAGCACAGAACCAGACTCTTCCAACCCAASCATCCCAACTGCTCCTCCTGTTGCCCTCAGCCCTTATCTGGGTGAGAAGATGGATGAGGGGTCCCACCACAGGCCATTTCTTGTCATCCTGGGCTGAGAACTTGCTCCAAGCCTTGAGMAGAGGGCAAATGCAGCTGATCTGCTGTGAGAGGGGCTTTTCACAAGGGGGATTGGGCTTAAGCTGAAGGAAGTCAGGTTTATGTGGGATGTTGGGAAGAAATTCTTGCCCATGAGGGTGGGAAGGCCCTGACACAGGGTGCCCAGAGCAGCTGTGGCTGTTCCTGGATCCCTGGCAGTGTCCATGGCCAGGCTGGAGAGGGCTTGGAGCAGCCTGGGACAGTGGAATTTGTCCCCTGCCTGTGGTGTCTGATCCAGTGGTTTTCCTACACCTGGATACAAGTTCACACAGATACCTCCTTCAAGGCAGCCAGAGCACTGCGGCGAAGCCTCAGGCACAAAGAGCAGCAGGGAGCTTTCCTTTCATATCTCAGTGATGCATTTGTGCCTTTCAGACTAAAAATATCTGAGGATGGAGATATGAAAACTCTTCTCTCCTACGTTACGGTTTTCCTTTGTTCCTACATGTTTTCTTCCAACCCCTGCATCCCATTATCTGCCTGAGGCTGCCCGTGGGTGAAGGATGAGCAGCTCATACCCAGGCAGTGAAAATCCCTCCTTGGAGGGAAAAATCCATCCATCACATGGAGTCCTTGGATCAAGACCAAGGTCTCATCTGGGATGGGAGCGATGAAAAGGCTTCTTCTGCCAGTGCTGGCTGCCCACATCCTGCTGCCCACATCCTCCTGACTGCTTGGAGCATCTCTGGAGYAGGGATGGAGCAGATCCCAGCCCGCACCCACGTTCAGCCCTGTACAGGTCCATATGGACCTGCTGGGATTGCTATGGAGGTGAGAGAATAACTGAATGTRCTCCTTGTGCCCCTGAGGAGCAGCACATCTGAGCTGCAGGACCCACGTCTGCAGTGGATGGGCAGTCCTGATGTCATTTCAACAACATAAAGCCAAAAAAAGGCAAGAAAATGAATAAGCAAGGGAATGTTCATGCTTAGACTGTTTCAGCCATTTCTGCTGGCAGTTGCTTTACCAGCTGGCCAAGCTGGAACTAGAGGAGATCAGCTGGTTTTGTGATCGTCTGGAAAGATGAGCCACAATATGGCTCAAAAAATGGGAAATATTTCTATGAACTGTAAGAAATTACTCATTCTCACAGGCGTAATTCCAGGCATTGATTAATTTGGTTAATTTTTAGTAAAAAAATGCGTCTTYACACCCAAGAAAGAGGGTGCTGAAGCGTGGCTGGTGTTTGTCCATGACAAAGTCACATGGGACACAAGGATATTTGATATTTAATAAAATTTATTATTGCTCAAAGCAGCCTTAGCAAGGCTCTTCCCAAGGGGTACACCTGAAGCAGGATGGTTTATCCCACATGCTCCCATTGAACAGCCTTTTCCAGGGAAGGGTGGATCAGGCAGGGATGGGGATTTACATGGGATGGAAGAGTGATAAATAGTAGGGAAAATCAGAATTGGGGGATTCAGACCATATTGCTAGGCCTGGTTCCTTGGGACAAGGGTGGGAAAAGCCAGAGGAGCCTGGGCTCCTGTTCCCCCTCCCATGACATGGGAAGGAAGGAATTTCAGGATGTTGATGGAGCAGGGATGGAGATGGGAGAGCAGAAACTGCTCCACGGTGACAGGAACAGGGAGTGACCCCACAGAGAGCAGCGATGAGGGATGGCTGTCCTGGAAATCACATTGTGCCGTCTCCTGCGCCTCCGGTTCTCCCACGTGGAATTTGATTACTCCTCTGCTCCAGAGAAAGCTTTCCTTGGCTGCTGGCTGTGCACAGCTGTCTGCTTTGTTTATGAAGTCCCTTTTTGTCACTGCCACTCTGGGCTCTGTGCTCAGGGATAATTCCAGGATTGCTGGGAGCACCCCACTCCTGAAAGATGGGAAAACAACCTCCACCCTGTGCCAGCCCTTAACAGGGAGTGAGCCCCACCCTGCTTCCAGCGAATTTCAGGATCATTTCCCCGTGCACTTCTGGTTAAGTACAAGCTCAGTGAAGCCACCAAGTCAAAGATCTGCAAAGATCCTGGGAAAACCACACCAAATTCCTGTTTCTGCACAGATGATGGGGAAAAATCACTGCATTTTGAGGGGGAACGTGGCATCATTTTGAGAATTTCCTCCAGGGGATTAGAAGAAGCCAAGAATTGAACTTTCCTGCTCTGGCTGGCTCCTGCCAGGCTCGCTGGGGCTGGGAATGAGGTGGCTCATTTTCTTATCACAGTGTCAGAGACTTCCATGACCTATTTGGGAAAGCCCCTGAGCTCATTCAATGATCCCCCACCTCCCTGATTCTGCCTTAGGAAGGATAGAAGTGATGCCCTGAGAGCATCAGCATCTTCCCTYCAGCACCCCTGGGATGGGATGCAGAGCATTCGAGGTGGGAAGGAGCAGCAGTGCCAAACAGGTGGAAAAAAATCTGACTTTGCTTTCTCTGGCCAAAGTGCACCCTGAGAGCAGAGCTGCTACAAAACCTTCCAAGCTGTGCATTGCAGCCCTTGGCTGAACTCTGAACCTCATCATGCAGGAAATAATGAGGGTTCACAGAGATAAATGGTGCTGGTGGACAGGATTCCACCCTGGATACTGCTCCAAGTCCTGCTACCAGTACCTCCCAGTGCCTCACTCCAGGGTTTGGGTTGGAAGGGACCTTAAAACCCAGCCAGTGCCACCCCCAGTGCCACCCCTGCCATGGGCAAGGACACTTTCCACTGTCCCAGGTTGCTCCAAGCCCCATCCAGCCTGGCCTTGGACATTTCCAGAGGTGCAGGGGCAGCCACAGCTTCTCTGGGCCCCCTTGTCCAGATCCTCACAGGGAACAATTCCTATCTAAAAGTCAGTGCTMTGATCCAGGCTACTGCTACACACTTATAATAATAATTAATATTTACATCTCTACTTGTGTTTGTAGGAGAAAGGGAATGCTGTGTTTGTATCACTGGGATCTGAAGAACTYGGTGCTGCCTTCAGACAAAGGTGATACACCCACATTGTGAAGGTCTGGAGTGGAACAAAACAGAGACATCTCCTTTTGCTGAGTCTTCATCCAGCCCCTGGTGAGTAGGAAAATAAATGTTTAATAGAGAAAATACAAAGTTCAAACCAGTGAGCCTTCTCAGTGTGTCCACTGCATGTCCCAGTGCTCCCAGCATGCCCAGTGCAAGCCCCAGTGCACCCAGTGTGACCTCCCAGTGTGTCCGGTGCGTGCCCCGTGGCAAACTGGCAGGGATAGGACAGGAGCCCCAGCAGAGCTCCTGGGAATCCCTGAAAAGCTCCTGCTTGGATCGGCTCGCTGGGGAGTGCTGCACTGTGAGGTCATAGGTAGTTAATTAATGCTGCTTGATTAAGATCTTGGTTAGGACTGAATGATGGGAAGCTGCTGCTTTAGCCCACGAGAGGGCAATGCTTCCCGCCTGGCTGGTAGCCACACTTGGGCAAACTGGATTTCTGTATTTTCAACCATGAATTTAATGCAGAATTCCTTCTCTTTTAACAGTTTTCCTGAAAGTTTTGTTTGTTTGTTTGTTTGTTTTTTTTTTCATTGGGGCATATTCTCGTGTGCATCTCTGTGTTCCCAGCTGGAATGGCAATAAAAGGGAGCTGAGCACCGTGGTGATCCATCCTTTCTCCTATAAAACCTGACTGTGGAGACAGGATGGAGCCAGGAGAACCCGGYTGTGCTGGTGTGGGGCTAAACGGTGGTAAAGAGCAAGGAGAGGTTTTTCTGGTGCTTTCTGCTGCAGGGCAGGGATGCTCCATGGGGACACATTCCAGACAGAGGTGGTGTTGGTGATGAATGAAACATCTTCCCCAGTTTTCATGGAATTTCACAGAATCCTAGCGTGGTTTGGGTTGGAGGGACCTCAAAACCCACCCAGAGGACACCTTCCACTGTCCCAGGCTGCTCCAAGCCCCAATGTCCAGTCTGGACACCCAAAGGGATCCAGGGGCAGCCACAGCTTCTTTGGGCACCCTGTGCCAGGACCTCCTCACCCTCCTAAGGAACAATTCCTTCTCCCTTCCTGCAGCTGCCAGGCAGGAACCCGTATTTTAAATTTTAAATTTTAAATTTTAATCCACACCCGCCTCTGCAAACAAATATCTACCCAGGTGATCCCAGCATCAAAGCCCTACAAGCAGAGACATGCCAGTCCCGTTCGACCAGCAGACAAACCTTCACAAACACCACATCCTCCCCTTCCCTGGCGACCTCCTCTTCTCCTAAAATTCCCGATTTTCCAACCTCTCCATCCCGACCGATTCTCCACCACCATCACCCCCCTGCACCACCGCCTGTTCTCCCATCCCTCGGGCGCACSATTTTCTCGCTCAACCCCTTCCCAAAAACCGGGGGCACGGCTGAATCCACCCCTTAAAACAGGAAAAACCGGATTTGCCTGTGGAATTCTGCATGGATTAAAATGAGTGGTTTGACCCCGCCCACTATTATCCTGGCCCCGCCCATCCCCGCGTGGCCCCGCCCCGCCCCGTTCGGGGCGGGGCGGGGCCACGCGGGGATGGGCGGGGCCWAAGTGRAATTRGGCGTGGCTTAGCTCGATGGGCGTGGYCTAAACTCCCGCTCCGGTCGCCCGTGGAGACACCGGGAGCGGCGCTCGGTGAGTCCCGGGATCCCGGGATTGCGGGACAGGGGGGTTCCCACCGGGAATTCTGAGCCGTTCCACCCTAAACAACGCGGGGACAGCGGGAAGTGTCAGCCCGGCCCTTTTGGCAGCGGGGCCTGGCGGGTTGGGCCGGGCCCGAGCGGTGTTTGGGTGGTTTTGGGGTTGGTTTGGAGGTTTTTTTAATTTTTTTAATTTTTTTTCCGCTGTTCTGAGGAGTATTCCCGGTGGGAGGTAGAGCGCARCTGTGATGTGGTTCAACAAGTGGCGTGTGGCACGGGAATGAGTCGAAATCTGCTTAATTATGTAAAAAGTAATCTGCTTCATTATGTAAAAATAATTCTAAGATAGGCTTTTTTTTTTTCTTCCTTTCCTTCTCCTTCCTGCTTCCTTCCCACCTCCTTCCCTCCCGACCTTCCCCATGGCACTGATGGATATCCAGATCTGGCAGTTCCAGCCCCAGCTTTCAGCCAAATCCTTTCAATTTTACCAATTTTAGTATCCTTTCAATTTTTACCAACCGGGCCATGGGTTTTCCTTGGAATCACAGAGTTCTGCTTGACGAGGGAACTTTCCCACGTGTGGGGAGTTGTGGGATGAGTGTGGGAAGGAGGTTAATTAGTGGGAAGCGTCATTATTCCAGSAGGTTTCGTGTTGATACTGAGATTACACACCCTGTTGCAGTAATAAGTTTAGTTAGAATCATGAAATTGCAGAACATCCTGAGTTGGAAAGGACCCACATGGGTCATCGAGTCCAACTCCTGGAACTTTTTAGTTACTTTAGTAACTTCTAAATTGTGATTCTTTATCCCAAGCTTTAATTCTTTACTTTTTTTTTTGTGGGGGGAAAGGGAGATTTGAGTGTAAATTGTGATTTTAGCCTGGTGCTCTTGGGAAGGAGGAGCTGGAGCTGTGTCAGGAGGGGTTTGGGTTGGATATCAGGGAAAGATTCTTCCCCCAGAGGGAGATGAGCACTGATCAGGCTCCCCAGGGAATGGGCACAGCCCCGAGGCTGCCAGAGCTCAGGGATACACAGAGTGGGATTTTGGGATATTCCTGTGCAGGGCCAGGAGCTGCACTTGATACTCCAACTCTGRTTATTCCATGATTCTGTGATTTCGTTTGTGTAGCACATCAAATGGAGCTCCCAGCAATTTGCCAGGTGATTATGCAGTGTTTTTATTGGCTTAGAACCCCCGGCATCAGGGACACGTTACTTGTCTGTGTTTGTCTGGGTTGTAAATTTTTTTAGAAACACAATTCTGGAAGTAAAGGGTGAGTAGTGTRCAGTGGGAGGATTTTGTGCTGCTCAGTGCCACTAAATGAGATCGAGGGATTAGTATGGAGTTAATGACTCCTCAATCCCGTATTTTATCCTGGCATGGGATGCACCACAGCATTTGGGATATCCCTAATCAAGGAGCAATGAACTCCAGAGAGGAGCAATGCATGGGGTCTGATGCTGGGAGTGAGCTCATTCCATAATCCCATCTGATTAAGGATTTTTCCTTGGAAAATGAAGCTCTTGCATTGTCCTGGAGGAATTTTTTGTGCTCCCAGACAGCAGAGTACCTACCAGCATCTCTCATCTCTTGCTGGTGTTAAATCCAATTACTGAGTTGTGCTGTAGGTTTCAGGTACTTMTTTTCTTTCAAACCTAACGTTTCTTTGGCAACGTGGTAACTTTTTGGTGAGTACTGAAAATTCTCAATTTTTTAGGCTCTGTTCCTAAAAAGACTCAAAATATTTAATCCTGTTGGTGTTGAGTTCTCCGTAGTAAGGCCTGGGATGAGACTGAGTGTGAGAATGAGTAGAATTATGGGATTCTAGCTTGTTTGGGTTGGGAGGAACCTTAAAGTTTATCTCATCCCACCCCAACTTCCCATTGTCCCAGGGTGCTCCAGCCTGRCCTTGGGCACTGCCAGGGATCYAGGGRCAGCCACAGCTGTGCCAGGGCCTGCCCACCCTCCCAGGGAACAATTCCRTCCCAAAATCCCATCCATCCCTGCCCTCTGGCAGTGTSMCCCCATTCCCTGTGTCCTGGCTCTCTCTGCCTGTTTAAAAAGTCCCTTTTCTAAGGCTCCACCATCCCTGCCAGTGCTGCTGGAAGATGCTGAGCACGGGGTGGGAACGTGGCTTCTTCCCYGGCTCCAGCTTCCCAAATCCCAGTGTGTCCCTCTCTGTTGCGAAATCAAATCCATATTGCTGCAGAAACGCGTGGTACAGCCCCATAAATCCTCACCCTCCGCCCTTTCCCTTTGTCCCCTTTGCCAGAGCAGAGATCACCACGGCAGGGGGGGCGGAGGGAATCGTTTCCAAAGGTTTATGGTTATMGAGGGAAACGCCAGCACAGCCTTGGCCGAGCTGTGGAGCTTTATTCTGGGGAGGATTGTGTTGCTGCAACTTCATCTGTGCTTTCACAAACCTTGGGAATGGGGGAAAGCTGCTGGTTCCAGRCACACAAATCCCCCTGGGCAGAGGCAGTTTCACTCCATTAATTGGGATGGGAGCTGGAGACCCCTCAGTTCCTGAAAGTCATTGTGGACTCACAGTTTCCAGGGAAATGGGAGCTGCAGATGTTTGGTGACTTTTGGGATTTGTTCCATATCTATCAGTGCTGGAATTGAGCAGTTATTCAGTGAATTTTGCTATATTACACAACTGGGGCTCATTTTTCTGAACTTCAGTGTTCATCCTGCCCTTGGTGTTGGGAGCTCCTGGACCCACATCATTTCTGCTCCCAGGAATAATCTGGGGGGGAATTTGGACGGGTGAGAAAATGCTGATGACACGAGTAAGGAGTGATTATTCTGTATTTTGCAAGAATTGGTGAGAAAGAGCAGAGCTCATGACTGAAGTCCTCAGCGTGACTGGGTTGTTGTAGGATCCTCCAGAATTCTATKGAAATCCTAAATCCTCCAAATTCCCGTAG